CAGTTTGGGGCATGTTGAATACCCGTTCCTTCCATTCAGTGGATTTTCTATATCACGAAAAATAGATCTGTCTTCTACCTAGTTCAGGATATGCCGAGTAGCACTTGTACCGTGATAATGCGCCTATAATCACATACCCTGAATATTCTCGGACCAGCAATTTTTCGAAATTTTTGAGGCAGAAAAATATTTTATGGCACTTGACAGAGTTTATATTACAAACTGAATGAAAGCATAAATACTGCATGTTGGCCGCGGAGTCCGAGACATTGAAGTAGGCGACTGGCTGGCGGGGGTCCCACGAAGCAGATGCAGAAAGATCCGTTGACGGGTGAAATAATCAGGCGTGTCAGGGATCACAGGTTGACCTGCGCGACTGGGCAATGGAAAGCTAGTTAACTGTCCTCGGGATCATCGGCAACTAAGAAGTGCCTACATAGGCTTTTAGCGATTCCCACCGCCCCCTTTACTTCCGCAACTAAAACTCGTCCTTGTTTGAAACTCGTATAGTTGATGCGTATGCAAATCTGTGCGTACAAACTTTTACAAATTACGTTAAGTGAGGCCTTAGATGGACAGAAAACGGGTGGCAATTAGGAAAGAGCGTTTTTAATTCTGGAGTTACTTGCCACACAATTCAAAAGCTAAACTATTAACTTGGAACGAGAAAACTCGAAAGTTTTTTTTGTTCAGTGATTAGCCTAAGGAAACTAAAACCATTGACCCTGTTTCTAGAGTAGTCAGACAGTCCCAAAAGGAATTAATTTTTACGTCGAACCAAATCTGGATTTTTCTATCGTCAAACACGAGGGACCTGCTGACGTTCTAATAGCACAAAAACGCCTTCCGGTCCACTGAAGCTCTCAATTTAGCTACTTCATCGTTACTTACTATATTATTTAAAGTTAAGGCGTCATATTCATGCAGTTCATCGGAATAACGAAAGCTTACTCTATATAACAGTGAAAAATATAGACCAAACACAGAAACAGGGCATTGTTTTTACAAGATTAATCACATAAAACAAGCCTTCTTGTTAAGTGTCAAGTTTTCAGATGTTCCCGCAAATGTGAAAAGACCGCATGGAGCAAACTGCAACTGGTGTCATATCGGAAAACGATAGACTAGTGTTTAATGTCATTCAGCCCCCAAAAGATTGATGTCCTTCCTCCTGCTGTATTTGCTGTCGGTAGTCCTGGGGATTAGTGCCCATCGGCCCCGGGCTCGTACACACAGCCGCTCCGTTCGCAGGGCTGTAGGTTGTGCAATTGGAGTTAGAGAACTGCTGGAATTCTGGCACCGGTGAATAACCCGCCATCATATTCTGGAAATTCCTCCACTGCAGCAGGTTGAGTGCAGAGTCCGCCAGGTATCCAACTGAGATTAATAATATAGAGGATGAGAACACTGACCGGCAAGAAATTTAAACATATTCGAAGCAGAACCCCATAACATATAATTACTAAATCTTCAAACCGCAGAAACCAAATTTTAATCTTTATATGCGAAAGTCGGATAGCCAAAGAAGTCCCTCTAAACACGTAACAGAGTCAAGAAATTACAGTCCAAGATAAACGCCCTAAAACAGAAGTTTTTAGTGATCAGATGCGGATCCTCATCATCTGCGGCACGTTCGTTTTCCGTCGATTTCCCTGGTTATATGTAACAAACTCACAGAAGGAATACTGACTCAAGAAGTGCATAATACCTGTACATTATTTTGACGTTATTACAAAAAAAACTTTATCGGAATCATACTACACAAAGTTCCCCGTGAAGCTGCATTTGGACATACCACATTTTTTCGGTCTTAACCTACTTACGACGTAGTTGTTAAAACACATCCGAGTGTAAGCCGACAGATGTTTGGGTCTCTTTTGTAAAGAATGTTAGAGTCATCAGAAAGATTACGATATTTTAGAGTAAAATGATGAATTTCATTTTTTTTCTAAATACTGTACCAAATTTTTCTGAGAAATGTCTGATCAAGATCTGGAATCATTCAAAACCCTAGGCCAAGCCCTAGAAACGTATAGACCGTCAGAATTTTAAAATCACGTCATTCATTGATTCCAACCATAGAAATTAAATCAGAAGTAGATTTGGATACTTTTATATGAAGCGATAGTTAGTTAGGTTTTTAGAAAAAATAAATCACCGAAAGTTGCAGCTGAATTCTTCCAGCCGAAATGGTTTTGGAAAGCCTGGGACGATTACCAATGAGAAGGCAACACGACACTGTAAACAATGACCAAACATTCCTAGTTATCTGGAGACAGTTTGCAATCTGCTGAATAATAGACACATGATCGAACTGTGTGCATTCAAACCAAAAAGAGCAAACGATAACAAGACGCTACTAGAACTTGACTCTGAGACAAAAATGGTTATTTTCGCATAATTACCCCTGGATCACTATATCGGTGGAAAAAATGCATTTCGATCCATTCCCATACGAGAAAACAAAATATAAAACAAAATTAAATTAAAAGAGCAGAATGTAGGCGACAAGGTGTGATATGGAACTCTTATTGAGTAAACATTCAAGCCCTCTGCAACACTTAAGCTTATTTTTTTTCATTTTTTGACGATATTCGTGTTAAGCTGGAAAATTAAAATTGTCAGAGATGTATGTTCGCTACTTCACCATAAGGCCAAAAGCATTAGATTTAAAACATAAATAGGCACTTTAAGGCTTTACAAATGTTTTTGGGGCTTGTTCAGACCTTTTGTCTCTGCTCCAGCCGCCCGACGAAGTCAATACTGTAAGATAATTGAACTGTTGAAAGGATGGGGGACGGGCGTGAGCAAGGCCTATGAGCTAAACGTTAGGAATATTTTGAAGTGTACTATAAAAACTGCCACCGCCATTGCAGATAAAAGACGTGTTCATAAGACTGCGTTTTCTACAAAATGCAGCAAACAAATAAGTAAGGTGGCCCCTAAGGGAAATGAGCGCGGGCGCTTTCTCTACAGCGGGCTAACATGTGCTATTCATTAAATCTCTCTCCCCAAGTTTTGAAAATATACACGAACTACTCGTGCAGGACACAGCGATTCGGATTGACTGATTTGCATATTCCGATGGAGCGGGAAACACCGGCTGTACAAAGAGGTGCCTAGGAACGACAGGACGCGCAAAGAAGCCTGAAGGGCTAGACAAAGGGGAAAAGAAGTGGATTTAAAGTTCTAGTCTCCCACATCTGGTTGATACAGGTAACCGAATCGACACCAAGAAGTCTATCATCCGTGACCAACGTCGACTCCAAATACCACCGAGACCTGCTAGTGACAACCACATGCAGTTCTCATGTTTAAACTGTAGATATTACACACAACGTACTTTTACCTCTTTTGACCAAATGAGCTCAAAACGCCGACCTCGTTATACAGGCGGAGTGGGCACGAGGCGTGTGATCACGCCCTGAAGACGCTTATAAATTTGTTACACGACCCATATTATTACCTCCATGAAACTAAATAAGCCTGATGATTAATAACTGAAATCGTGTGTTTGCCAAGCTGACTTTCCTTCAGATCAATTGGAAATACTTCTGAATCGTATATCAATTCCTAAAAAAAGTTATATCCCACTCGGGTGAGCCAAAACATTTCTGTCGTTTGATAAAAATATTTGGATTTTCATGAAAGGTACAAAATAAAAAGTTTGCTTGCCTAGGGAGCAGCTCTGTCTCAATAAGCGTGCAAGGAAATCAAAAACACAAGTCAAGAGACTAATTTTACCTTTAGTCACTAGTTGTATGACATTATCCGTAGACAAAACATGTAGTACTTCAGAATAGTTAAACCAGATATGAAATTATTTGCCAGGGAAATTTTCTAACCAGGTATTTACATTTAATGATTTGCCGCACCACATGAGCCTTGAGTTGTTTGGAACTAAAACAACATCGTAAAATTTTCGACAGTCTTCACTTGAAAGCCAAAGTAAGCCACATCAATTCAGAAACCAAACGTCAAAATTACGCTACACAGAAGGGCCTTTAGGATATTGGTAAGCACAAATGATCTACTAGTCCCGATGTGATCTCTGCAAACTGAACGGAGATCAAAAATTTTAGTTCTCTGCTTAAAGTAACTATTGCTCTTGTCCTCTCAAGTAAAGTTTTAAAGCAAAACGTAATGATGGATATCACTGCTTAGTTGATTTAAATTTTATGAAGAACTTGTTTTTTTACACAGAGCAAGCAGTAATTATACTTGAATATTTCAGAAAAGGTAATCAGCCGTGTAGGCAAATACCACTTTAAAAAACAACTTACATTTGGCAAGGTTTTGCTGTTGAAGGAGTTTTTGCATGATAAAAGGTTGAAGATGAGGACGACTAAGCAGCTTGTTGGGATTGGGGAAAGCTAGAGAGGGGAAGAAGCGATCGTACAGGCGATTATATCCGGCAGTGGTTGGAAAGTTCATGTTGACCTGAAAAGGCAGTGCCTGACAGGAATACGAGTTTTCCGCATTTTGTCTACAAGAAGTTAATAGTAAAACAATTTACCCTATGAATTTAGAGTCATCGTTATCATGACCATGACCTGGGAACACATTACAATGCGGTGCTTGATACGGCGGCTCAACATCTGAAAAATTATAGCAGAAAATATTTACCCTTATCCGTCTGAGCACCTGGATCAGACTCTATATTACATGATGCTTCCATATTTTGACTGATAAATGCGTTGGCTGATGCAGCATTTGTCTTTGAGAGATACACTTAACAGAAAAAATATTGCCTTACAATTGCACGAATCCATCGGAAAGCCTAAAGATGGTTAGTATAACGGGAAAACAAACGTTATTTCCGAGGTTTTCGGGCGGGAAAACGTGCTGTGGGACATGAGCTGGGAGTTTTTCTTCGAGAGCTGGTATTATGGGTGAACCTTCTGGGTACTTTGCCTTGATATCGTCCTCAGTGCGGGATTTTGAGGCAACTGGTGTTCCATTATGGGTCAACTTTTCAATTTCCTCGTTATTTAAAGGGTCTGTAGACTGAACATCTTTTAGATGGTTAGCTTGATTCTAGGGAAAAATAAAAAGCTAAAAGATGAGAACTTGTACTAAGATGGGGGAGACGCTCCTGTCAAGCTTTATGCCGACCATTTCTAGTAACTTGTAGTAACCAGTCATATCGCTATCACTCTCGTAGTTGGCACTCCTTACGCGAAGTTCAAGTTCTATTTCTCGAAGAGTGTGAATTTTTGTTTTTTCTCCTAAACTCACAAATACATATGCAGTCGTACCGGAAGTCTTCTGAAGATTGCTAGATTTATTGTTGACGGACTCAGAAAGAATCACATTAACAGCAGCTTCTGGTGCTGACCCAGTGTTGTTTTGACTGTATACGTCTTTATGGTCTTCGCTCTCAATTTTTGGGGTCGCTACAGAAATTGGCCAGTCGAACCCATGATTACCTTGAGATACTCTACTGTCTTCTTCGCCTCTGTCACCAAGGTTCGTCAGTCGGTGCGATGGCATCTTAAGATCCTCAAGCTCGATTTGTTCGTCTGCATTAGACGGGCCTTCAGTAAACCATTGTGGTTTAGGTTGAGACTACAAGCAATATCGAAAAAAGGCAAACAAACGCTATAATGTGAATTCGAGTATTCTCTGACATCTTGGCGTTTATCTTCGTAACTCTTTTGCTGTATTTTGAATGAAGGTGGACGGAATCCAGCAGACTGAGAGCTAACTATATATTTTTCCGCACCGAAGTTTTTGTGGCCAGCAATGCTGAAAGACGAGTTACGTTGACCTGTTCATAAGAAAATTAGTAAGCAAACCATATCGACGAGAATTAGATTCCAGTGTGTCAAAACGGACACTTCTAGACTTAACTGATTTTCTTTTGACAAGCCTATCATCGAAGAAAACAGGCTGTTCCATTGATGTCGATGCATCCCTCAGCTTAAGAAGTTCTTCCTAAAGAGGTCAAGGCGAAATGCGGAAGAACCCTTGTGTAAGATTTTCTTTCGCGGCGTGTTTGTTTGACAATAATAGACTTAATTGCATCATCAAGCAGCGTTATGTGCATTGTCATGAAGAGATCAACACGGGAACAGATATATAAATTAAACTCCCCCCTCAAGAGTGAAGAGTGTTAGAACAAGACTTTTTGGTAGAAATAGTAGATTCAGGATTTCCGAGATTGAGTCGGTGAGCGTGCTCTTCTAG